ATTTTTTTTATCATTATTTTTATTTTTATTTAATTATTTTAAAATTTATATTATTTTATTTGTTAATATTTTTTGTGACCACACCAACTTTCAATGAAGATTGTTATTAGGCTATTTAACTTTAATAATAGTTAGACCACCTGTTGGTTGTTTCTCACCTTAGTGGGGTTCGCTTTTGCTCGCCCCAATAATTTGCAAATTAAAAAGTATTGATTATTTCATCTTGCTTCTTTTTAGAGGAGGATTTAGACTCAAAGATTTAGGGCAGACCTGCTCTGGTAGGAGAGGCAGCGATGATAGCATTACTCTTTATTCAAGAAAGTTCCAGATTGGGGATTATCTTGATGTTGCCATTTCTACTAGGCCAATACGAGTTGGTGGGCCTGGAGGAAGAGACAGACCTTACTAACTACTCATACTCTACTTGTTGTAAACTTTTTGAGACTTTGTTTTACTATAAAACTTGCAAAATGTTTCAAAATATTTGCTGTAAAATAAATAATAATATACGATGTTCAGAGTTTTGTTGTTGGAGGATTGTACGGTTTACCGCCGCATTTACTCCAGACTTCATCAAAATGTTCTTTGCTGATCTCTGCCCCCTTTTTTCTTGTCAGCCCTGTCTCTTCTAATCTCAGCTCACACATCTCCATATCATCATACCCTACACCAAACGTTTAAGAGTATATCTACAATTGGAGGCTTTATCTAATTACCGGCATAAAGGAGGAGAGGTGCTTGATTTGGGTGCAGCTCCAATTGTCTGGCAATCCAGTTTCCATCAAAATGTGCATACCACCAACCTCTGGTCTTTCCCGACTTGTCGTCATTATCTGATGGACGAAGGAATGGCACCTTAAAGTATCTGTGCTGTTGATTTGGTGCAGGGGTGGGCATAGAACTGGCTCCTATAGGGATTTATACAGGTAAAGTACCTTATTTCACAATTGAGTAATCCATTATCCATGCAAATTTATGAAAGGCTACTGTGCATTTGTTTTTTTAACCTGTTTGTGCTAAAGCTTGTTGCGGTATTCTTTGATTCTCTTCACTTGCTTGGCCAGTGTTAGCATCACGCCATGAATGATACGCACGCAACCTTCTGTGGAGTTCATCCTTGCATTCTTCAATTAGTTTAATATCTGAAAGATAAGCTGAGACTACAACCTAGTCCCTCCTAGTATTACTTACCACAGGAGGTGTTTATGGTATCTCTGAGCTGTGCATACTTCCACTTGGTAAGGTCATAGCTCTTGAGGGAGGCTCCAATCTGTTGTAATGTCATTGTCTGTGGTGCACGTGATGGCTTCTTCTGCTCCTGTTGCCTTTGATTTCTTTTTGACTGCTCTATGATGATAGCTTGAGATTGGGCATCATTCTGTACAGTTATTGTAACATGGTATAAATGAGAAGGGATTATTACTTGAGATAGTCTCAGTGCTAGTTCAAAGTCTCTTCTTTCTTGCTCTGCAGCTAGCATTGCCTGTGTATCCATTGTTAGTTGGAGTTGATGCTACATGAGAATGAAGTGAAGCATATTACTGTAGGTTGCAGTATATTAATGAAAAATACTGCTAATATTTGATCTCTCTTTTCTTGCTCTTTCTTTTCTTGTAGATACTTTAGAGTCTCTAATTCTTGTCTTCTTTAACAGTTATAATGACACTGGTATTATTTCATTATTGATATCACTCACTTTCTGTTTTCTTCTTTCTGTCTCTCTTCCTCTTCTTTTTGTGCCTTCAATCTTGCAAGCTCTTCCTCTCTCTGTCTTTTTTCTTTTTCCTGTTTATCAGCAACAAAAAGTAATAATTCATTATACTATAAGCTAATACTTGTTTTTCTTTTAGCTGTTGCATCAGTTTTCTTTCCTCCTCTTCAACTTTTTCCTGTTCTTGTCTCAACTGTAGCTCATTCATATATTTCTCAACATCATTCACTAGTTTAATGTACTGTCTATCAATGTCATCCCTTGACAAAGACAGTGAGATGGTCTAAAAGGCATATATAAGTCTCTCATTATGAATCAATCCTAACCTTTAATTCTTGTATCTGTTTATCAACTGCTGAGGAAAGCTCTTTGCTCCTCTGTATCATATTCTGTTGGTTGCTCTTCAGTTTTAAAGCTTGAAAAATAAATCAATATACTACACACTTAGTCCAAGCATAAATCACATACCAAGAGTGTTCAACTCCTCAATTCCTACTTTGAGTTGCTTTAAATCTCTGACACTTTTGTATCTGCAAGCAAAATCATCATAATTACTTAGTTCGTGATAAAGTGGTTATTGCCTATACCTTGGTCTATATTTTCTGAGAGCTAATGTCATTCGTACAACTGATTGTATTATAATTGCACTTTCATGTCTGTACTTTATTTTTCTAGATACTATAAAATGAATGAAGTGTATGAATGACCACACTCAATTGTATCATGGAAAATGCTCAAATAATACATTTTTGAACAGAGATAGCTCCATAAATGATTTTTCTCCATTGCTTTGATATCAGCCATTGTTTGACTTTTAATATCATCTTGGATAGTTTTTCAGGATCACTTTGCATTACTTCATCAAACTCCGCAAACTATATTGACAAATCATGAATTATTATAATCATCTGAATTTTTAAAAATTTGCCAAAAATATCATTAACCACAGTACATTGTATTTTGTCAAAAAGTTTTAATCAAATAATTCTTTTAGAAACTTGCATATTTTTAAAATGGTCATAACTTGAAAAATTGATGTCGGAATTGGCTCAAACTTTTTGCGCAGCATAAGGACGTCAATATGTATCAGAAAATGTAATAAAAATTTGAAGTGATTTCGGAGCCATTTTTTGGAAAAAAACCATGGGCTATAGCCTTGGGTATTTTTCAGAATTTTGGCATTTTCTTAAAATGGCCGTAACTTGAAAAATTGAAGTCGGAATCAGCTCAAACTTGCTACATAGCATAAGGACATCAATATGTATCAGAAAATGTAATAAAAATTTGAAGTGATTTCGGAGCCATTTTTTGGAAAAAAACCATGGGCTATAGCCTTGGGTATTTTTCAGAATTTTGGCATTTTCTTAAAATGGCCGTAACTTGAAAAATTGAAGTCGGAATCAGCTCAAACTTGCTACATAGCATAAGGACATCAATATGTATCAGAAAATGTAATAAAAATTTGAAGTGATTTCGGAGCCATTTTTTGGAAAAAAACCATGGGCTATAGCCTTGGGTATTTTTCAGAATTTTGGCATTTTCTTAAAATGGCCGTAACTTGAAAAATTGAAGTCGGAATCAGCTCAAACTTGCTACACAGCATAAGGACATCAATATGTATCAGAAAATTTAATAAAAATTGGGGGTGATTTCGGAGCCATTTTTTGGAAAAAACCATGGGCTATAATATAATAGCCTTGGGTATTTTTCAGAATATTGGCATTTTCTTAAAATGGCCGTAACTTGAAAAATTGAAGTCAGAATCAGCTCAAACGTGCTACACAGCATAAGGACATCAATATGTATCAGAAAATTTAATAAAAATTGGGGGTGATATTGGAGCCATTTTTTTGAAAAACTATGGGCTATAATAGCCTTGGGTATTTTTCAGAAATTGGCCTATTTTAAAAAATGACCGTAACTTTATAAAATTTGAATTTGCTCAAACTTTTGACATAACATAAGGACATCAATACGTATCAAAAAATTAGTTAGCAATAACTACATACCTTCCCTGCTCTAAAGAACACCTTGTTATGACCAAATTTAAACTCTCTATCTTTTATCCCAATTGCACGAAAGAGAGCTTCACAGAACATCCTAGGATCCAGCTTAACTAAGTCATCAGGTAATACTGCCTTGTACCTGTTGTACATAAGAGGGACATAGTGTCCATACATAAAGAGAGATACTGACTTACATGTTGTACAAGTCAATGAATTGAGTACGCGAGGGATACCCACCTTCCATTAGCTTCAACACAGCAACCATGCCTACAATACATTGTACATGCATAAGTATATTCCTTGAATGATAAGCATTTACCAGCACACTGTAGTTGCGAAAGTACTTGGCCTCCAAGAAACTTTCCTGGTATCATATCTTGATTAGGTTTCAAACACCGTATGAAACTAGCGTCCTTTACAAAAATAACACACTCACTCACATAATGTGGCTTGCTCATGCACTTACTGTTTCTCTTAGCTTCTGCATCAACTGATTCAACTGGGTCTAAAGGAACACAGTCAATAAAATCCCCATCAATAAATAAATACTTTTGCTTACTCTGAATTTACTGCTCACACTCTCCAGGACCAGTTTCTTTGCAAGTGATGGGCTGGTTGTCTTTTTCTCAGGGAACAATGACTGTATCAAAGTGTCACTGCTAGTCATCAGTAGCTGCTCTAAGCTACTGTGCAATGCATCGTTATTCTTATCAAGAAATCCAACCTTTACACCATATTATTATTATGATGCATGGATGCACATAATTATTAAAACTAACGGTTTTATAGCAGACGGCACCAGCAAAATGACGTATAATGAAACCCTCTTCATCACGCAGAGATTTATGCTGACTCAATCTTGACTGTCTTGGTAACTGCACACGAAAATGGCCAGTGAACTTCTTATGTATTGACTCAGTGAACTGCTCGTTTGATCCTCTTGGCACCTTGCACTCTTCATCAAGAATATCTATTATTCCATTGCCACCAGACTCTATAAGGTCTATAAAGCAGTGTGTACTATATATAAAATAATGTTAATAATCACAATACTGACCAATGCAGTCTTGATTGTCTACATATCTCACAGTGGGTATTCCAAGACCTTCTCTTTTATACAACTCTTGCTCCTATGACAATTAATACAATGATTAAATATTATTATTATTATGTCAGACCTCTTTTAGGACCCTTTCATTAAAAAGCTGCTGTAGCTTCTCGTTGCAATAGTTAATGCAGAACTGCTCAAATGAATTAAATTGGTAGTATTCTGTTAGTAGTAACAATAATGATGATAATAAATGAGTGAACATAAATATAACTAACCAAATCCAGCAATATCAAGGACTCCAATGTAATAGCGTGATGCAGTGAATGGAAAGCATTTGTTGACACGCTCAATGATCCAACCAAAAAGACGAGCATAAATTGCTTTAGCAAGAGCATCCCTAGCATTAGCTGCCTGATCAGGTTTAAGAGGAACACTAGAACATATTTGATAGCATATATAATACACATTATCCCTGCACTCACTGTATAACAGTACCAACTGTTCCTTTCTTAGTAGTTGTCATTACACGTGAAGTTAATGACCGACAGAGATCATCCTTATCAATTCCTAACAGTCCTGATACCAAACGAACTGCATTAGCTGAAGCCCCTGATACTGTACTACCACCTGCAATGTTACATTAATGCATGTATGTCACACACAGAGAATAAAACACTGTGCTGTATAGAGTATTACTTCATTCTTTTTACCTTTTTGTCCATAGCTCTCCTCTTCAAACTGTATATTACCAAGATGAAGTACAGCTGCCGTTATTCTAAATAGCTCAATCTTCTCATCGTTACTCATTCCAATGCTCTCCATTGATTGGACTAGCTTGTGATATCCTTCACCATCAGCCTTTTTATCAACCAATCCATTACTCAAATACTAGAAAGTAACATTAAAGATTACTTAGTTGCTAGAGGCAAAAATCGTTATATAAACACGCACTTGTGTGTATGTGCCTATGTGGACATGCACTTACATTATAGTGTGTATTGAGGTCAAGTCCAAGAGCTTGTTTCATTTCTTTTGGTGCTCTGGTTGATAGCATGTGATAAAATATGTGATAGTTTCTTTCTCCGCCAACTTGTGAACAAACTCTCGATTTCTCAAGTAAATAATGCGAGACGTGTCCCCCAACGACTTTAAACTGTTCAAAAACCAATAGCCACGACCATAAACTATTAATGGTCTTACTTCAGTGTCAAAGTGAACTTCAACAAATTTTCCAAAACGAGAGCTGTTTGCATTTTGAACTGTTGTTGAATTCCCAAATGATTCCAGTATAGGATTAGCTGTATAACAATAGCATGACTCATTACGTAGGCTCAAGGTACATGCTTACCTTCCACAATACGTTGCTCAATGATCCCAGCAGCTGCCCCATATATCTGCGTCAGATAACGAAGTATGAATTTAGTTGTTTCGGTTTTCCCAGCACCACTTTCTCCTTTAATCAATAGTTCATCATTATTCCAAATAATAAACAGTTTCCTTACCGCTAACAATAACAGACTGGCTTATTCTATTTGTTCTCAAATCCCGATACACCTTATCAGCTATGACATAATAAATAAAATAATACAAATATTATTATTAGTTTAATTTCATACCAATAGCAAAGACATGAGGCGGGAGCACTCCCAGAGATTTCCCTTTGTACTTCTTTGCATTCTCTAGTGTGTAGAGACCAGGGATATCCTTATAAGGATTAACTGCCAAGAGAATGTTGGCAACATAACTCTGTGGGTAGTGAATGGAGGAACTATCAACCCAAGAATGAGTGGATTCGACTTACGTATATCATGTCTTTCTTGTAGCGCTGGTGAATATTGTGAAGGAGAGTGGCTTCATTGAGGTATACTAAAGAACCTGCAAGAAACAGATAATAAATTTTTATAGTATTTTAAATTTGTGTTAATTTAATAGTCAATGATTTAACAGCGTAAACATGTTGACACTGGATAAAAACCCCTTAATTCATAGTTGCATAAACCTATATTCACAATCATTCAATTAAACTGCTGTTGTTATCAAATTGTTACAATGCAGGCATACAGTTATCTTCCACAAGTTTATCAAATAGCTCATCAACTGCTGGATAAACATCCTCATACGCTGCAACGATACTCTGAAAGAGAAATGATAGAAGAGTAAGAGAAGGCGAATAAAAGAGAGGGGGTGGGTCTGCTACAAAGCAATAGATTTACCTGTTTTTCTGCATGTCCTGTATCCACTAATTCAACAGTGAGACTGTCACCTCCTACATCAGTTACATGGCCTAGCACATATCCTTCCAATGGATGAGGAGCCCATACACACTGGCTCCTTTTTCTACTGGTAGATGTAGCTGCAGCCATCACAAAAAGGGTGGGCAATTTAATTTCTATTGTCATGAATATGATCAATACATAGTCATCAATAGCCAAAGGCAATCAATAATGCAAGCTATGTAATTAATTTGGGACGTGTTTGTAATTTTTTATAATTAGAATTTAAATAAAAAGCAGCAATACAAATGTTAGCACAGTATAAATGTCCATTGCACACACTGAAATTATTTCAAGCATTGAAAACATCACAAAAGTAATAGCCAAAAGTGTCAGCATTGTCCATTGCGTAATCTGGGTTTTCTTTGGCAAGGTTTTGACAATCATATGAACCATAAGCATGATCCCTTGTATTGCTGTAAACATGCGAAAACTCATGAACAAGTGTTTGCTGTTTGCTATCTTGTCCAGAACTCACTGACTTTGCTGGAAGTGAGTCAAATGCTGGGCACAAGTGAACTTTGCGAGCACCATGCTTTGTGTAAGCAACTGTATCTCTTTTACACCTTTTTCCTTGGAAATCATATGTAATTGTGTCACTCTTTAAACCATTAAGGCTGGCTTGATAAAAGCGCTTAACTTGACGACATGATTTTGTCACAGTGATTCCAAACCATAATTTATATAAAAAGTTGTTTCTGTTGAGAGACAAAATCACTTTAGGATAACCATTTGAGCTGCATAATTCTTTATGGAGTGCAGTGGTCATTGCTTTTTGGCTTGCATTACCATTAACAAACTGAGGTGTGAGACATTCTTCACTTGGTATGTCGGAACAACCTTCAAATCTTGAGGCATCAATGATCTTGGCATGCTTGACCTTTTTGCGGGACTTTTTGAACTTGTCAGCATTCACAACGGTAAATCTACAACTTGACAATCTTGGTCGAAACTTGCGACTCCAGATAGGTAATTCGTCATCTTTTATTGATTCCATTTTTTCCTTTGTAATATAAACCAGATCTCTGGTGTACTGCAAGGTGTATTCGCCATCATGAGGAAATTGATATGCTTTTGTGAGATCAATATCAGGCGATTGAATCGGTTTGTTTGGCTTCAGAAGAACATAGTTTTCCTTTTTTGGTAAAAGACGCTTCACAAGAATTCCTTGATAAGGGATGTCGTTTATCTTCTGATTTTTCAAATTAAGAAAGCTAGACCTCAGCCCTTCGAGTGGAGTATTATAGCGAAGAAGATAACATTCACCATTTGTAATGTTAGTAAAAGAAAATTGGCAGAGAACTTTTGATGATTTTTGCTTGCATTTTATGCTAATCCTGATAGGCTCAGTTGTACTGGAATGCATCCTATACAAATATGCATGATAGACTAATCAAGGTCAGAACTATGAAGGGGTAGTCATGCATGATTTAAGCAAAAAAAAAAAAACTCAAGGGGGTGACTTACTTTCCAGATGACCTTAGGCTAAGCATATTTCCCATACTGTAGATCAATGCACTTTTAGATTTAACTGCAAACAATGCTAGAGCTACAGCTATGGCTGCTATAATAGGTCTGCTGCGCTGCTATGCTTTTAGCTGTTTTGGCAAACAACTTGTTTTTCCAGAAAATATAAAGCAAATTTCCAGAAAAACAACTTGTTTTCGCAGTGATTTTGAAATAGCACTATGATGGATAGACTATTACATACAGCTTATAGTTTCAGTAAAAACATCCTATATAAAACTTTAAATTGCACAACGGGGGCCCGCCCCGGCGGGGCATTTGGACTTTTTAATCATGATGAGCTATGACGAAAAATAAAAATGGAGCGGGTAGCAATAATAGGGAGGTGAGTCTGCTTGATATTTTTTCAATGTTTTAATAAATTATTTTTCTTTATTAGTGGTTTTATTGGAAAATGCTGGGCTGTGGTATGTGATAAATATTTTTCTATGTCTATGACTATAGTATTAACAGTTGTTTGTGAAGTCTGGATATGCTGTTAATCTCTATGATGTGCTTTTTACTGAGAATAAAGGAGCAGTTGAAGCTGCTCTACAAGTCATATCCGGCAAACTGGTAGAGCTAAAGGAATACGGACTGCTTTCTGACGATCAGGTACCAGAGGAACTAGTCAAGAATGTCACGCCAACTGATAACCTTAAATCAGCACTAACTGGTGTCATATATGTACAGGTATGTACACTTAATGCTTACTAGCATCAGTCAATGCACATGCATGCAAATTGGGTACAAGGCCATAGCAAAACTTTAAAAAATTGAAGAATTTATTTTCATTATTTTGTGTCTTTAATTAGGAGTGTATACCTGAGAATGTTGACATGAAGAAAGAGCTATTTAAACAATTAGACGAGCTAATAGTGGATGACAGTGTAATACTAGCAAGTTCATCTTCTTGCATCGTACCATCAAGATTCACATCTGACCTGAAGCACAGACAAAACTGTATAGTAGCTCATCCTGTAAGTACAACAAACCTTCATTAGATTTAAACTCATATCGTGTTAATATCTTCTCTCTTATATCTTTTACTAGCTTAATCCTCCTCATTATACTCCATTGGTTGAAGTATTACCGTCACCATTCACCAGTGAGGACACATTGTCACGTACAATGACAATATTAAAGAGGTTAGGACAGTCTCCTATTCACGTCAAGAAAGAGGTGAATGGTTTTGTTGTCAACCGATTGCAGTATGCACTCATCATGGAAGCATGGAGACTTGTCAATGTAAGTTGTAGTAGTGATGGCCTATGGGCATACTTCTATGCAATGAAAATGATAATACCGGTACCCATGATGGAAATAGACACATCTTACCAGATCAATTTAATAATAAATAATAAATAATAATAGCAATAATAATTATTATAATATTAATAACTGAATGTTCGTTGCTTTGTTTAGGATGGAGTAGCTTCACCAGAAGATGTAGACAAGGCCATATCACAGGGCCTTGGTCTCAGGTATTCATTCATGGGACCATTTGAAGTAATGCATTTGAATGCAACTGGAATGCAGCAGTACTGTGAGCTGTATGGGGAGAACATCACTCGTGTCTGTGAAACACAATCGCAGGCTCATTTACTATCAGGACCAACACTGGAAACAATAAGAGGTATTGGTAAAAACTTATTAATCCTCTTAATGTATATATTTTAGTTGCTATGGAGGCTCAAACACCTCTAGAGTCATTGAATGAGAGGAGGAAGTGGAGAGATGAAAGATTGGCTTCATTAGCAGCTCATAAAAAAGAAATGAACAAAAAAGACTAAAAGTTAGATTTATCATTATTCCACACACACACAAATGCTAATATTACTAATTATAATTAAAATGTGTTAAATTATTTAAAGAGTCATGCAGCCTCAATCCATCCACATATATCCACTCCATTGCACGTGCTGGGGACAGAAGCTTGCAATAATGAAACCCAGCGGATACTTTAAGATAGAAATCAGTAGGCGTGCGTAGCATTGGCGAGCGTATTTCTTGAACAGTAGCACCATTCTCATCTTTTACTTGCTTATACTCAAGTGGGTTGTAAATCCACAGTGGGCCAACATTATAAGGGCCTTTATCCTCTCCAAAGACCATTGGCTCTCCTAGTTTCTTGTATCTAGTCAGTGTGTTTGATCCAGCATTAGCTAGTGCCCAGGAGTAGGTATACTCATTGATTGTCTTACATATCGATCCACCATCAGTTTTATTAAAGTCGACCTTTCCCATTCCAGCTGATTCCATAATTTTCTGCCTTGACGAGAGTTTAGTTCTTATTTCACTGGCCGATGTTGGGAAAAACCCAGTGTCCAATTTTCCATCTATTATTTCGTAAATACATTGACTAACTGTACTGGTATTAAGAACACAGGCTGGTGAATATGTCGAGCAGTTGTTAAATACATTTGGTAAGTGGACAGGATTAATCTGTGAAACAGGATGAAAGGCATCTTTATCATGTACACTTTTGTTATTAGGCAGTCCTCCCATTATAGGCTGTGAAACAATCTCACTCCAAGGGCAACCAGTAGTGCAGGCAGGACTAGGTGGATCATCATAGCAGGGTGGTTTAAAGTGATAGAATCCTTCCATTTGATATGCTAGCAATAAAGGTTTCAAAAATTTACCAGTACTATTAACCCATTGTTGGAAATACTGAGAAGGAGTAGTCTCACCAAGCAGTATTGATTTAATGAATGATGCCGTGAGATTAGCAACAATGCTGTGAGCCTCATCGTAAGATATTTCTGGTTTCAAGTCTCTCTCATGTACAAGGAATGGTGGAGTACCTGAAGCAAACTGCATGTGACTCATACCTTGCACTACTACTACAGGAAAGAGGTTAGGCTTGTTTCCTTGATAAGGATAAAGAGTGTAATGATAATATGATTCCATCACT